TACTTATCTAGCTGGATCACACATCACTCAACCCAGCTGCCAAAGTCTCATAACTAAAATTCAAGTTCCTCGCCAATCAGAGTTTCCTCAAAATAACCATCTCTGCCACGCTCTGCTTGACTTCAAATGTTCGTTCATGCCACTAGTACACTACAATTGTGAATCCGTCCTCTCTCTAATTGCAATGCCCGTATCCACCTCTGTCACACTAGGTAGTGTCCTTAAACCGGCATTGGTGAAGGACGTGACAACGTCGCTCTCAACAATAAGCAGCATACCAGTCCTTTGGGCGTATCTTTGGAAAAGTCTTCCAGTAGCAATCATGTGTTCCCTTTCGCTCAATGCCTAAAACTACGTCGCACTTCTCAGCATCGTCGTCGTTGCGAGTTGTACTAAACAAAGAACAAACATCGTCAACCATAACAAGAATGCACCTCTCTCTAAAAAAATCTGACTTACCAAGCTCTCGCATTCCGCCAGTACACTGCGTCACTCTTTCATTCCACCATTGCTCACTCATTTTCTCATTCTCACCTCACCGCGACAGAGGCGGAATAGCAATAACAAATGGGTCAAATCTCACGAAGACATCGTCGACGTCAACAACAATTGGCGTGCAAGTCTAGCATGTGTATCTCTCGTGATGCCTGACTTCCCCAATGCCCACACGTCGCTTCTGTCGCTTAACCGCCTCACAACCTCAACTCGTCTTTCGCCGCGAGCTGGCCTTAGGGCCAACTTCCACTGGTACTGCCGACGGGTGATCCTGCTGCCACTGGTCCACTCCGTGCCAGGACTGGGTTTCCACATCATTGGCTTCAGACTTTGCCTCGGAGTCCCGGTCCAAATGTTGCTGTTCGAGCTCGGTAGTCCCTGTGGACGTATACTCTTCGTGGTAAGTGATGGTGACGTGCAGTGCTGCGCTCACACTGTCCCGTTTGCACCTCCGTTCAACCCTGTTGCGGGCCTCGGGTAATTGCTCTTTGTAAGCCTTTCATCCCTCCTCATCTCTTGCTCCTTTCCAGTGTAGATGTTAATTCTTAACTTTGCCACTCTCTCAGGCCTCAAGTAAGTCAAGATGTCGTCCACTGTAGCACCCTCCTCACTTTTAGGCTCCCAACTCCAGAAGTATTTCAAGTGTCTGAGCCTATAGTCGTGAAGACCCTTGTGGTACTCCATAGCCGCACTCTCAAAATAGCCTGTGCTCAGCACTGCCAGCAACCACCTGCTCTCACAACCACAACACAGGTATACCACTGAACCACTGGACTCAGATAGCCACGACCTATGCACCCTGCCTCTCTACAAAGCTATCCCGACTTGTACGGCAGCGAGATAAATCCAAGCAGATACCAACTGAGCAATAGCGGAGTGGCTCGGCAACTTCCGTTTTCAAGAAAACTCAAAAGCGCCGCGGTCCCCGTGTTCTAAACGAGGGACTCAAAACTTTCCAAGTCGATAAATAAATATAAAAGGCATTCCAATAATACCCCCCCATTAATAGTAAAATAAAATAATCATAATTTTAAAGCCCAATGGTCACTACGCAAGCGACCTCTTTGTGATCAATTCCTGCAGTCCTTTCAGCTTAGCCTGAAAAGACAGCAGGCTCGACGCGCAGCATAATCCCACAACGGGATACCAACCGACAGCCTGTCTCCTTTAAAACGGCCCATCAGGCTACCACTGGTAGGGGTCCATGCCCGATGATAAGGAGGTTTATTTCCTTCCATGGAAGGTGATAAGCCTCCTATTGATGTGGTCACGGGTACCCTATTTTTTAGGGTCTATATCGCGCTACCCTACCGAAGGGAAGAAGGCTCATTACACGTGCCTAATTGTTCAGGTCCGCGGAAGATTGCATCCTTCAGCCATACTGAAGGGTTAGGGCATTCCAGGCCAACCGTTCGTTCCCCCGCGAAGTCACAAAAGGAGGAACTAAAGCTGAAAGACAAATTTGTGACCTTTAGATACGTAGGAATTCAAACAACGGTCCAGATCAAAGAGAAGGCCAGAAGCGTGGCTTCTCCCAGTTCTTTCTTTTTCTTTCTCTTGCTTTGGTTTGATCCCATAACTTGACACTTTGGAACTTGGCGCGCAGTAGAAAAGATTGCACTGGTCCTACAACCTTCACGTCCCTGGCCGAGCCGAGCAGCAACCACGAGCATGGGGCAGTTGTGCTCTGGTGTACAGCAGTTCGTCGAGCCCGCGTGGACCGAAGGAAAGGCCAGTGGCGCACCCCCACCCTTTTGCCAGTGGGAGCGCTGGCTGAGACCAGTCCAGGAACAGTATACCAACTGGGTTGCCTGATACACCGCGCCCTCTGACAGCGGGCGCTATCCGCAAACACGCCCGGCTGGATGCCCAGGGCCAGACGGCCATGGTCTGGGAGTCTGGGACATCCATGGTCAGAGGTCTGGGCCGTTCATGGGTGTTGTCATCCAAAAATGTCCGGGAGGAAAGGACTCTAGGACATTCATGGTCAGTGGTCTGGGCCGTTCACGGGTGTTGTCATCCAAAAACGTCCGTGTTGTAAAGGGGGGCAAATCCCCTGAAGAATGCCAACGTAAACCAATTCTCGCAAAAGTCTGCCTGGGAGAGGTAGTGGTGCTTCAAATGTCTTTCCCAAATAGGTCAGCACTATGTCCCTGATTTTTCTCAGAATTGTTTGCCAAAAATTACGAGCACAAATATCATCGAAGTGAGCACAATCTGAAGCCCGTGCAATGCCGTCAGCCCCCTGCAGCCAGTAGACAGACCCTGCCCCCACCCCGCATGAATACACCACAGGCTCAGTCGACATCGGGGGGCAATGGTCGATGCCAGAAAAGGCATGAAAAATTCAAAATTTAAAAATATTGGTCTGCACTTTAGCTTTCAAAACATTTGTTTCCTGCTTTTATACAGCCTTCATTTCCTTCCCAAACTTCAAAATTTAAAAATATTGGGCTGCACAGTGTGATTGTATTCAACCACCAGTACTTGGCCGAGCTATTGGTCGCGGGCCTTCCCCGTTAACGCGCTGGGACCTGCTGGGGTCGGTCAATGGAAGGCCCGGTTGTTGTTGAAAGGCTGGGCGCCACATTTTGTGGGATGACACTAAGGAAAAGGAAAGAAAACACACACGAAAAAAGAAAAAAACAGACAAAAAACGAATCTGTTTTCGTAGGAGCGCGCGTGAGCGAGCGAGCGAGCGAGCGAGCGAGAGAGAGAGAGAGAGAGAGAGAGAGAGAGAGAGAG